CTACATAATTTTTTTACAATATTTAAGATGTAAGACATTAATTTAAAATATAACTATTCATAATTTTTTTTATTTTTAATGCGTTTTATTTTAATTTTTCTAAAGAGAATATATATCATCTCATTAACTACTGACGTTATTATAGAAAAACGTGAAGTTTATATGAACGTATACATTAAACTGTGAATCGCTTTATAAATAACAGTGAAGATCAACTTTTTTCATATTCACTAATATAAATATTTTTTTTTGAGTTTACAGTGACATTAAAAAAACTTTGGTTTGTGTAAGTTGTTTCAATTTCAAAATTTTAGAGTTTTATTAGTTTTTCTTCACTTTAAAAAAATTAAAAATAACAGAAATTACGAAGGAAGTAAATTTCAAATAAAAGTTTATATATGATATAGAAAACTTCATGAATATAAATGTCTTGAAATTTTAAATTAAATTAAAAAATATAAAGCTCTTTAAACTTTTAATTTTAAAGTTAATTTGATTTATTTGAAATTTTTGAAGTTTCTTTTAAACTAAGTTTAAGGAAGTAAGTTTACGAAAGTCTAATTATTTTTATATAAGTAAGGTCTAAGTAAGTATATCTATGTAAGTTATCCTAAGTATGTAAGTCTAAGTATGTTCGAAGTTCAATACCAGAAATTGCCATATATGCGGTAAATAAGAGACATTTCTTGTTAAATTCTCTTTGGCGATGCTCTCCGACAATTAGATAATCGTGGTGCACCTGAACAATATGAAAACGGGTCGTCCATAAATTTCGTAACGTTCTTTTGGGGGATGGTTTAAAGACTTTCTGGTAACTCGTACGGAACTTCTTACTAAAGAGTTGTGATGTTGTGACGAGGGGGAAAGGGGGTCAAAATTGCGTGACGTAACTTGTGGACAACTTAAGGAATAATAACTTTATGAACTTTATGATAATAAACAATAAAACAATTTTTCTATTAATTTAGTTTATTAATATAGTTTCAAAAAGTATATATTGTATATAATTTTAAGTTCTTTTAAACCAAAACTTAATACATCAAGTATGAAACTAATTACTATAGCTAAACTCTTAATGTTATAGCTAAACAATTACTGTTATAGCTAATCTTCTAACAAGTTAAGAAAACAAAATTGTTATATAAAAATGCGAATAAATAAATTATATAGAAATTAGGAGTCTTAGAATTAAAATATCTTGTTAGTCTTAAGGATCATGTAATACTTATTTTTAATTTATTCTCTTGGTTTGCTTTAATTTTAAGCCACATACAGATCAAGCAAAATACCTATATAAATTCACTCATTGTTCAATAGGTAGTTTGCTAATTAATTATTTTGCTATTTTAAACACCGAAATTGTTTAGGTTAAAATTTAGTTTGATTTGATTAATTTTTGCATGATTGGTTGGTTTTTACATGGCTGGTTGGTTTTTACATATCTCGCTTTATAAGGTTAAAGCTTTTATTTTAAAAAGCGATAAATGAAACAATAAAAACGTCTTAGCTTCCTAAACAAAAGAATCCGTTATGAGCAAGTAGAATCAGTTTATATGTATAATTCTTTGACTTATTTTTTTCATTTATTAGCACTATGAAATGGTCCACTTATACTCTCTCCGAATTGATTATAAGATACCTCTAATTGGATTGATTATATAGTAATATCTTGTTAAACTTTCGGGATTCTAGAAAAAAAGTTTTTTTTGTAAAAACACTGAAAGTTTAGTATTTTCCTTCACATGCGCATTAAATATTGTATTAAATCATGAAAAATATCAATTAGACATTAGAAGATTAATCAGTTCATTGCGTTCAAATCGAACATTATTTACATTAGTTTTGAAATATATAAAAAAAAAATGCAAAATTCTTGGAGTAATTTGAAATGTTGGAATTATTCCAAGATAATTACATATTTTAAAACCTTATTATAATTTAACTTGTTGAACAAAGTGTAAATATAAAGTTTTTGACAAACATTTTAACATGAGGATTAAACAAAAAATATGCCGAGCCAAATATTTTCTGCCACTAGGACTCCAAAGATGCCGACTCATCCATTAAACCACAAGGATAATTAAAATAAAGTGTGAATTGTTTACTTTAAGACAGAAAAAATAATTAGAGAAATTACTGAACGAACCTATAGAAAAATCAAAAATTATTTTATAGGTCATTCAAAAAGGGCGTCATTCACAATTTAAATACTAACCAGAAGTAGAATAACTCTTTAATTTAAACACAATTTAAATACTAACCAGAAGTAGATTAACTCCCTTCAAGGGAGATTTTCATTGAACATAAGGCGCTATAATATACTAAAAATCTATGCGCACGAAAGCCAACATTCTCCTACTTTTTGCCATTAGTTAAAGTTAGCGTGACGTCCTTTATGGATGATCCCTCATCTTATTTAGACTTGGCTGACAAACTTTATCTTACTGGTATCTGTTCTCGTGATTAAAAAACCATAAAGTTTATTGAAAAAAGTATAAAAGAACTAACAACTCCTCCAGCACCATTTGATTTTTTTATAGTACGATTTTCCATTATTTCAAGAAGTCATTTGAATGCGCAACTTTTGATGTTGCAAAGGAGACAAAAATCTCCCAAGCATTAGACAAAAATCAAAAAAAAGAAAGGCCGGTATTCGTTGAAACAAATCCGCCACATTCCTAACTATATCTGTATGTTAGAGTATAGTAATACCATATGTATAGTAATAGTAAAACAAGGTTTACCACATATCGGTTTGCAGGCACAATCTTGAAAACAGCCCTGTCTGTAAAGGTAAGTTGTCGCTACACTACTGATCACATTACTCTCTATTGTCAACTAAAGCATCAATCTAATATCAATATTACATCAATCTAATAAAACACTATCTTTCATTAATCTAATAAAAAGTAAAGTTTTGATCATGCCAAGCCTCAATCGAATCAAATCTAATTGATTAGCAGGCGCCATATATATATATATATATATATATATATATATATATATATATATATATATATATATATATATATATATATATATATATATATATATACATATACAAATATATATATATATATATATATATATATATATATATATATATATATATATATATATATATATATATATATATATATATATATATATATATTATTTAAAGCTTTTGCATGAAACAAAAACTTTAGACAAGATCAACCATTAAAAAATATCAATATTTATTTAATAAATAAATAATCAGACAAGTTATATATTACTTGATAGAGAAAAGATAACGCTTTAATTTCATACCATATACTAACATATATATATATATATATATATATATATATATATATATATATATATATATATATATATATATATATATATATATATATATATATATATATATATATATATATATATATATATATATATATATATATATATATATATAAGGGTGGGGCATAAAACAATACCATAATAGTTTTTCTGGTTCCTTTTGATATATGTATTAAAAATATATAATTTTTTTTTTTTTTATGGGTACTCCTATGGTCGGTCCCAGCAGGTCGAAATTTTGAAAATTTCTACTTTTTGTAAATAATGAGGGGGGCTGGGTCACTTACAAAAATTTCAAAGATATTTTTAAGGTTATTTTTGTAGCCTGATAAATCTAATTTAAGATTATATTTTGTTTTATTGCAAAAAATGAAATGAAATAGTCAGCCCTACCCATTTAAAGATATGCTATGTATATTTGGGAGTTAGCGGACTAGGGGTTCAGTTAAAAAAAATCCGTAATTTTTAAAATTTTCATTTAAGTGTAAATAAAAACAATGTCAGCAAGCAATGGTTATGGTAAAAAATCTCATCGTGAAGTTTTTCTTGTTGGAAAAAGAATCGGAAAAATACCTATCACACAAATGCCAACTAAAAGAACTGTATTGCAATATTACCATTACAGAGATCTTATGCTAAGAGCTGATTTTCCAAACATTTTATCAGTTAGTATAGCTTCATGTCCACTTGGTGATTTCTTTACTGCACAATGTGCTGAAATAGGTGGTTGTCTTCAAAAATGTTTACCATGCGTCCTTTACGAGGTGAAGAAAATTTGCCAAAAAGCAGGAATTCCTTTTGTTAATACTGACAAGCATATCAGGTTTTTATTATATTAAAATACTTTTTAATTTTTAGTTTTATCCAGTTTAAAATTGATATTATACAAGTAACAATTATAAAGTCATAACATTTTATATATTTATAATAAGTTACAACAGTTTTAATGCATTCTTTTACTTTTGCTTTAGAGACAAGATTGTTGACTTAGAAAAGAAAAGAAAAGATTTAAACAAACACAGGAACCGTTTAAGTAAAAATTTAGTTTTAAAAAGAGAAACTTTTTCAAGAATGCTAGAGTAAGTATTCGATATAAGTCATAACGATTGTGAACATACTATTATGAAAGATTAAACTAAAGATTTAAAAACTAGAAGAGAGGATGTAGATTTTCTTAACAACCAGAAAGGAGCGCGTGTTCAGAAAATGTTGGGTAAAGATAAAATTTCACAAAATATTGTAAAAAATAAAAGAAAAAGAGAAATGAAAAAAAAAATCAAAGTATAAAAGAGTCCATAAGAAAACAGAAAGAGTTGGTTACTGAGAAATTTGATGACACAATGAAAAATTTAAATGCTTTCGATAATGACCAAGATGAACAGTATCTACAGCCTTCTATAAAAATTAAAAAGTCTAATGCTGTTCTTCTTATAGTTCCTAAAAATATAGGAAAAGATTTAGCTCCAACAGCATCACGATATGGAATAAGTTCGAATGCACTGAGTGCAACTTCTGCTTCTCTTATAAATAACAGTTCTGGAACAACAGATGATTTTTCTATTTCTAAACGAAGTATTTTTAGGCAGAAAAAATTAAGTATAAGTACAACTGCCTGTAAAATTAAAGACAGCTTTATTATATTGGCTAAAGGTAAAAGTCTTACTGTGCGTTTTGACTCCAAAATTATGGTAGAATTGAGAGAAATTGGTAAAGAAAAAGTTGAAAGATTAGCTGTGCTAATCAGTTCACCAGATCTTTCAGAATCCCAACTTTTGGGTATTTTAATTGTGAAAGATGGCACTGCTGAGTCTCTTGGAAAGCAATCAAAAAAACTTTACAAGACTGGGAGCTATTTGACTATGTTGATTGTCTGTCCTTTGATACCACAGTCACAAATACTGGTTGGCTAAAAGGAGTCTGTACTCTTATTGAGCAGTGGAGAGGAAAAGCTTTGATTTGGATGGCTTGACGTCATCATGTCTACGAATTACATATAAAGGTAAATATTGAAAAGAAGTCATAAAATATTTTTATATTTATTTATTTATTTAATATTTCTCGATGAACTTAATAACGATTCACCTTATTATTAAAATTTAGTTAAGTGATTTGAAATAAATATATTTTAGCACTTTTCAAGTGTTCTTACTGGAGGTAAAACAAGTGGACCAAAGACTGAGTTATTTGAAAGGCTAAAGTGTAATTGGAAATCGATTCTTGAAAAGAAGATAAATTATGATAACCTAAAGAGATTTGACTCGGAAAAAAAAATTAAATTATTTTTGGAAAAGCAGGTTGGTTTTATTGTCCTAATTAGATTAATCTGTTTGATTATAAGTTTTAATAATAAACTTTCTTTATTTTTTATTTTAGGCTTCTGAATCATTAACATTCCTTCAAATTTGCCTCAATAATGATACATTTCCAAGAAATGATTACAAGTACTTTTTATACAGTTAGCAGTTCTTTGGTTAGGTGGTTAGTAAAAGAATTTCACTTTAGATTTCCAATGGCTGCACATCATGCCAGGTTTATGGCACAGGGCATTTATTATTTAACAACAACATACAACATTCTACAGCCACAATTCAGTAACTTATGTCCTGATATAATATCATTACAACAGCGAAAGCTGATTCATGAAATTGGTTCATTTACAGCACTATTTTATGTTCCATGGTTTATTAAAGCTCCTATCCCTGCCATAGCACCTTCTTTAGATCTAAAACCCATTAATGAAATGATACAATATTCTGAATTATGTCTTAAACCAGCAGAGGCCGTACTAAAGTCACTTGAAAAACACAATTGGTATTTAAATGAAAGATTTGTGGTTATGTGTCTTGATGATAAATGCTTACCTGTAGATCAGCTACATAAATTAGCTCTTAAATTAGCTCAAACAGCAAAGCCTACCATTAATAAAATGGGAAAACTAAGTTCAGAAGTTTCTACTGACAATGAAAAAAAAAAATAACAAAAAGAATTGAAGATTTTATTGGTCCTAAAAGCTGGTTTTTCTTTGATTTATTTAAAATGACATTACATGATACAGAATGGCTGAAAATCAGTTCATCAAACTGGGAGATATGTTCAGGTTATATAAGATTTAAAAATTATATCACTGGTGTTCTTGTTGTAAATGACAGTGCAGAACGTGCAATAACGTGCACGTGCAATTACGTGAACGTGCAACTTGGTCAAGACTTTATTGAAACTTTCCGAAACGAAGAAGATAACCAAGCTACTTTACTGGTTGTTGCAGATCATCGTCAAAAATTTCAGACAACAGAAAAAAAATCTTGGTTGAAAGCTTTAAATAACTTTTCTTTAAAAAATAAATACAAATGTAAAAAAAAAATTTTATTTAAAATTGTAAGAAAAAAATTTACTTACCTCCGCCTTACCCCCTTACCTCCCAAATATACACAGCATGTCTTTAAATGGGTAGGGCTGACCATTTCATTTTATTTTTTGCAATAAAACAAAATATAATCTTAAATTAGATTTATCAGGCTACAAAAATAACCTTAAAAATATCTTTGAAATATTTGTAAATGACCCAGCCCCCCTCATCATTTACAAAAAGTAGAAATTTTCAAAATTTCGGACTGCTGGGACCGACCATAGGAGTACCCATAAAAAAAAAAAATTATATATTTTTAATACACATATCAAAAGGAACCAGAAAAACTATTATGGTATTTTTTTTATTGACTTAGGTGTTTTATGCCCCACCCTAATATATATATATATATATATATATATATATATATATATATATATATATATATATATATATATATATATATATATATATATATATATATATATATATATATATATATATATATATATATATATATATATATATATATATATATATATATATATATATATATATATGTATATATATATATATATATATATATATATATATATATATATATATATATATATATATATATATATATATATATATATATATATATATATATATATATATATATATATATATATATATATATATATATATATATATATATATATTGGAGAGTGAGAGAAAGAGTGATAAACATATTTTAAGATGCAAATATAAACTCATACCTATATGTTAGCAAAAATATCAAATACGGTGCTGTTAATATAATAACTAGTATGCGCCACTGCCACACTAACCAAGATTGTAAAGCCATTAAGCACATTGCAATCGTATATGAACACCAAACAAGATTTGAATAACTACGTGAGGATGGGCCAAGTAACTCTGTCATTAAAATCCATAATGATAAGTACAAACCTCCTTGCAAAAAACCAGTCAGTATACGCAAAACAAAAAAAGTCCAAAATTCTCGGACAAAGGCTGAAGCAAAAGATACCCCTATCAGTACCAAAAATGTTGGAAACAGTGTGCGTTTTCGTCCGTATCTAAGCGTGAAAATTTATATATTACATTTGTTACAGAATCATTACTTTATACCGTACTATAGTAATAAACTACTTAATACTCTACTATATTTCTTTATATTTGTCTACTATTATTACTAGAGTAAGAGCGGGTTAAACCGCTCATATTATTTTTTCAATCACTGATCAAAAAACGCAAGTAAAATTCAAGTTCTTTTATAGCCATTTTATTTTTATAAAAGATCAGAATCGTTGTTAAATGAAGTTTATTTAACCTTTCCTCATACAGAAGCTCTGAATATCCTGGAATTGGTGAAAATTTCATAAAAAACCATTCGTTTTTTATGAAATTTTCACCATTGTAATACTAATTTAATGCTTTTTACAATGATATATAATAATTAAATATTTAAATAGTTTAAATTTTTTGCACTCGTTTAAACTGATACTATAAAATTATTACGTCACGCAGTGCCGCATCATTAAACAATCAAATCAAATATTAAACATTAACAAAACTCATGTTTCCGGTTTATTTAAGACACCAAGCCATTGTTCATATATTGAGATTTAACTATAATTATATTAGCATTAGGCCTAATACTGCTATCAGTAAATTCTTGTGTTGTTATATAACTTTTTTTTTATAATTTTTAGTTATTTTAACTATAAGATTTATGTTAATAAAGACTCTATTCTGTCAATTGTTTGTTTTTTGTTTTCTTAATAGGAATTATTGGTATAAAAGTAAAAGTTAATGGGAGTTTATAACAACATTGGGAGTTTAAAACAACGATGGGAGTTTATAACAACAATGGGAGTTTAAAACAACGATGGGAGTTTAAAACAACAATGGGAATTTTTAATAACGGGTAATGGGAGTTTATAAACTCCCTTTACCCGTTTTAACCACAAATATGATGTTATTTTTACTTTTTGGAAATTCAAATAATAATGCTTAAACCTCTTACCTATCTGATAAAAAACCCACAAATATTGTGCCAATTCCACCTCCAATATGTGCTCCACTGTTGACCATGTAGGTATGTGTTAATTTGTCACAAATTAAATCCCACTACAAAAAATATATAAACAGCACATTAATTTAAGAAAAAATTAAAAAGTTAAAACAATTAATAAAAAAGTTATATATATATATATATATATATATATATATATATATATATATATATATATATATATATATATATATATATATATATATATATATATATACATATATATATATATATATATATATATATATATATATATATATATATATATATATATATATATATATATATATATATATATATATATATATATATATATATATATATATATATATATATATATATATATATATATATATATATATATACTAACTTCGCTAATAATAGAAAATTCAATTTCTTTCTCATATCTCCACGATTCTCTTTTCATAGAGCACCTTTTATTATACAATCTATGATTTACTGAAATAACGCCAGTTAAATTGCATTCAATGGTCTTATTTGTGCATATCCACGACGGATTAATTCCAATAAATGTTATCAAAAGTGATTGGTAAGAAGCTGGAATCATCAGCAAACTTAAAAAAAACAAAGTTAGTTTTTGACTTTTTCCAAACTCGCCAATATTTGTAAGAAAGTCATCAACATCCATCTCTTTCAGACAACTTTGCGAAAACTCATTTTTTGCTTCTGTATTTAGCGGGATCTCGGCCATTTCTATTTCATCGTTTGAAATTGAGTCACCACTGATGCATCGAATTAGTAGAATTTTCTGCTTCATTATAGATATCTCCAAGTTTCAGCTTAACAATTTTGAAAAACTTTGTTTTTATTGCGTTTGGCAATCGGTCTTTGCGTTACACCTAATTTTAATTATTTAGTTATTAACACAAGAGTAAAATCAAACTATAACAAAACATTTACAAACACTATAACAATCGCTGAGATTTATGATGCATTTTTTTGTTGTTGTTGTTTAGACACTTTATGAATGTATTCTATAAATTGATATTATATAATTTAAAACAAAAATCTTTTTTTATAATCAAACAGTATGTAAGCATAATACAAAAAAAAATTGGATTATTAACAGGATTATGACATCAGTAATGATTTTCAAAACGTTAATGATTTAGACATTTTACGGATGTTTAAAAAATTGCGTTTTCGAGATAAATCAAAACTTCAAAAATACGTTTATGATAACGTTTTATTTATTAAAATATTTGCATTTTTACTGATTTTTTTTTTTTTTTTACGCTATTAGTTTAGATTTACAGAAAAACCGATAACCAAATCTGCTTTTAACTTACGGGGAGCTACGATCGATTTTGTACGAATTAGCTAATTAAAAAATAAAATAAAAAAAAAATAAAAACACTAATGTGTTTTTATTTTCAATAAAAACACCAATTAGCTATATTCATACAAAATTAAACTGTGTGTGCTTGAATCTTTTTAGTTTCAAACACACACGATGTGAGTATAAAAACTTTCTGCGAGTTCTGAAAGTGTAAATGAAAAAGTTGCAAGCCCTGAAAGTGTAAATAAAAAAATTGTAAATAAAAAAGTTTCTGATGTTTTAAAATTTATTTTATATATTTTCCATTATTTCATTCTTATGAGTTTTTTAAATTCTACTAATTTTGTCTTATATAAAGTCCAGTTTGTAAACATTGTTAATAACAACTTTTTGAACTCTACGTAAAAGTAATTCTTTGTAACAAAATTGTTTAATATAAAATGTAGCCGACTTATTGCTTTACTCAAATAAAAATTACAATGCTAAATTAATAAATTTGATCATAAAAAAAGATTTTTACAATGCTAAATTAATAAAAATTATGTGATAATATATAACACTTTGGTACCTCTTCTTGTTACAAAAAGACAAAAATAAGTCATTTTTTTAGAAAACTAGACGCAAAGACTGAACACAAGAATGAAAATTAAAATATAGTGAAGCAAATTCATTCATATAGCCTTTATTAAAAGTTTAATGTTTAAAAATATAAATAGTAAAACAGAATATACCTGCTAAAATATATATATATATATTTAGTGTAGCGCTTAAAATTAAAAGTATTTTTAAGAATTTAAAATTAGCAGTAAAAAAGAAAACCGCTTGAGGTATACAATTGTTATGTTGGTTCAGCTTTATTTTTTTATTTGCTTTTTATAGGAGGGTTTTTTGTTGTTGTTGTTGGTTTTTCTTTTTTTTCTTTTTTTTTTTTTTTTTTTTGCTTTGCTTGTTTCTTGTTAAACTTTATGATTTATATCAAAACACAAAGTAAAGTAAGTTTAACAATTTTAATGATTATTTTCTTATTTACAATCTGCATTCGCAATCTGCATTAGGCCGTACGCAAGTAAATGTAGATAGAAATTAAGTTTCGTTGCACAAATTTGGTGCCTAACTTCTAATCTTTCTAAAGACTAAATTATAACTATTTTATTATTAAAATAGAATATTTACAGCTGTAACTTCCTGATATGACTACATTTTTGTCGGAAACACGAGGGATAAAGTAAAAGGGGGTGGTATTTTGCATTAGCGAAAATTGTATAGAAAAACAATATAAAAATATGAACAATATAAAAATATCACCTATCTGTACGAATATTAAGTTGTTTTGTAAGCTATTATAAGAGAGAAAGCTATTCTGTTCTATACACACACACACACACACACACACACACACACACACACACACACACACACACACACACACATCTTTTATTTTTTATCTTTAAACTAGCTGATATTAGTTATATAAAAAAAATCATACCACTTCAAAAATTTGTCATTTCACATTTTATAAATTTTTTCACAATAAAACTTAAAAAATAAAAAAACCAGGAATAGACATGAATTTAAAAAGTAGGGGAAAGGCTCTTACGATGGCATAGCGCCTATGATGGCATACTGGTCATTTTTTCATAAATATTAGTCATAGCAAAAAGTGATAAAACCTCCATGTTTATACTGAATTTAAATTAGTTTTAGTAAAAAAATTTTTGGATGTGCAGTTGTATTTTTAATCCCTTTATACATTTAAGATTGTGATTTTATTATTAACTGTGCAGAATTAAAATTTTCATTCATTTTATTTCCAAGTTTTTAGTGAAATACTTTTTTTTAGTGCATTTAGTGAAATACTTACTTTATTTTTTTCTTGAACGAGGTAGATATAGCTTGTTTAAATAAAAGTGATGACTTCTTCCTATGGTGGCATACTGACAAGTTAGGTGTGTTGAAATATTGACGAGTTCGGAAAATCTTTTTTTTTCATAAAAACAACTAACTTGTTACTAAAGTAATAAGAAGTTTTTACTTTTCTAAACATTTTTGTGTTCAAAAAACGCATTAAACGCAATATCTCTTATACGTATGCGCGCAATTCGACACTGCCGCTGAGTAGCATGAAAAAGTAAATTAGGATAATTACGCGTAGTTTCTGCCATTTCTGAGGGAAGACTCTAAGGTTAAATGAAATTCTCAAGTTACCCTTAATGCTAACTAGCCCTATCCTCCCATATGCCATCAAAAGAGCAGGAGTCACTTTTTAGCGGCGTAAAATGCTACCGGCGAAATTTTAATTCTGGAATTTTTACAGCCGTAAATTTACAGACGTAAAATGTTTTTTCATTCAATGTTATAAAACTTTTACCGGCGTAAAATTTTGCAGATATCTATGCTCCCAATTGATTTTCGGAAATCTACTGTCCGAATTAATGAAATAAAAGGTTGTCAAAAACAAAATGTTTTTGAGTTGAAAACATCAAAGTTAACAAAAATTAACAGTTTCTTATGGATTTGGACTGTTTTGATTCTGATGAAGAATATTTTGTTGCTTTAGAATATTTGGCAAATCAGAGACAACCACGAGAAGTAAAACTGTTCAAACAGTATTTAAACTGTTAAGAATACAATTTAAAAGTAAAAAAATGGAATTGTCATTATTTTTTAACCTATAACAAAATTTGTATAGCTTTTCTATAAAAATAACTTTTACTATTTTCTATAGAGATGTTTCTTTAGGCCAGAGTTGTTAATACTTGGCCTTGACCTTGCCTTAAGACCAAAATCTAAGGCCTAGGGCTTGAAACTTTTTGCCTTGACCTTGAAGTTTTTGACCTTGATCTTGATTGTTTTTGCCTTGGTCTATAATAAAATACATAAAATTAAAGAATTATTAAGTTTTTATTCTTTTTTTTTTACATAATTAGTTGTAAAATTGTGTTGATATAAATATAAAAAATTTATACACATTTTATGTTATACAATCTATACACATAGAAACATATTATACAATATATACACATAGAAAATCTATACACACAGAAAAAATAGGAAAAATTGCATAATCAAACTTTTTAAAAAAATGACTCAAAATATTAAATAATTAAAAGAATTATTCACTAACTCAGATCCTTATAAAAAAAATTTATTAAGACATAAATAAACATTTAAACATAAAACTCTTTTGATGCTTTCTGATTAGAATTTTATCCACAATAAGTTTTGACGTGCTTCCACACCATAGACAATATGAGAAACTTTGGAAACAAGTTGTGCATAATGTCTAAACACTTTCTGAATAAGAAGAAAAATCTTTGATGTATTTTGTTATCTGACTTTATCAAAAATATTTGAGCTCAAACCATATTCGAGCATCAAAGGTAATTTCTAGAACTTTAATAATTCTGTTTACAGGTTGACCACTTGTTTTACTATTGCGAATTTCAAATAAACTCTGCATAAAATTTTGCCTGTCTGTTTTGAGTTTGTCTAAAACTAAAGTTAGTCAGATTTTTGGATCAATAAATAGTCCTAATAAATCTAGCATAAGTGTATTTTTCTAATTAGCTCAATAACAAACTTTAGGAAGTTTTTTTTTTTCTAATGTCTGAAAGAAAATTTGTAAAGTTAATCTAAAAAGTTAAATTTGTTTACTAACTTATATACATATATACATATATAATTTGTTTACTAACTTATATACATATATATATATATATATATATATATATATATATATATATATATATATATATATATATATATATATATATATATATATATTATATATATATATTTATATATATATATATATATATATATATATATATATATATATATATATATATATATATATATATATATATATATATATATATATATATATATATATATATATATATATATATATATATATATATATATATATATATATATATATATATATATATATATGTATGTATAATTAGATACATACATACATACATACATACATACATACATACATACATACATACATACATACATACATACATACATACATACATACATACATACATACATACATACATACATACATACATACATATATACATACATACATACATACATACAAACATACATACATTGGCGTCCGGCAACTGGGACATTCCTAAACTCGAGCTTTTTTTTTATGTTTACATTTTTGTAAGGTAATGCTAAGGTAATTAGTATTTATGTATATTTGCTTATCATATGACGGATTCAAAATAGTGAAATTCGCATGTCCCGGTATCGGTGATATTTTGAAGTAAGTCTTATTTTTTTTGCACCAATGTAGGGACTTGATTTTAGGCTGTATTTATATTGCACTAATTTTTTTTTTATCTTTTTAGTCTTGCATTATGGACATTATTTTGTTTGACATCTGAGTTATTTTGTGGTGCGTAGTTTTTTTTAATATGTTGAAAGATGTGTAGCATAACAACAAACAAACTAAATACCAAATATATCTTTGATTTCCGGTAAAAGAGCTTCTAAAGGATTGCAAATTATATGATAAACGTATAGAAATGTTATGACGATGAACTGCTATATTTAAAAATGAATAAAACTTTTATACTTGGCAAACCCCATTACCTTATTTTTCGTTAAAAGACAACAAAGAAAATAGGGTGCAGTTTTGTATCAATAGGATGACGTTACATTGTATTGT